CTGCAAACCTGGGCTTTCCATTGTGAGGCAGAAGTGAGAAAGATTATTATATTTTGTACTTGTGCCAGTGTGCTACTAAGAGGCAAAGAGCTTAGAACAAATTGGGGAAAGCACTGATTTCGGTGCCCTAGTTTTAATCTCATATGTGTCACTTTTCTCAGGAACAAATATTCTGTGAGATAAATAGGAAAATTGTTGCCACTCTTAGTTTAAAACTTAGAACCTGAATCTCAGAACATTGTGAGAATTACCCAAGATCAAATAGTAAAGAGATAGACAAGCTGAGCCTGGAATTCCAGAGTCCTTGGACAAAGACTACTCGGAAAAAATGAGAGATTGAACCATAATCATATATAATCTTCTATCAGAAGCAGAACTGAGGTTCAGATTTCCTGAAGTCCAACTAAGTATATTTTTAAATATTTTTAAAATAGATTGAAGGAGAATATATGTAACCCCATCTAGCCCTCTACAACAAAGAAAAGAATTCACTCTTTCTGAATGGGGAATTCTGTTTCCATGGTTCAAGCGGGACTTACTACGGGGAAATGCCCTACCTGAAATTTCCTCTGCTCAACATGCGCGGGTCTGTCCTCCCTCACATGCCTGGACACAGCTGAGCCCTCCTGCTAGCAAATATCAGACTCTGTAACCAATAAATGTGTGTCAGATGCGCCTCATCTGTAACCCCACCCCTCCCAATGGATACATCCTCCTTTGCTGAGCGCTGAACGGGGCCAGTTCCCCTGGGTGCAAACACACACTGGTCCACCTGCATAAGTAAAGCTTTCTCTTTGTAAAAGATCCACGCTGTATCAATCGAATGGAAAGTTTACCCTTTCATTCCTGGATGGTTCATTGTTGGCAACACCAGGACCCTGTCGTCCTTCCCTGTATCCTGTTCCATTCCTACTTGGCTTGGCGTTCTGATCTGTCACATCCAGCCGTTTTACGGGTAAATTTGCAGGACTATGAGCTGGCTTCGCAGTAGTTGGGAGGGCTGCCCCCACACTAGCATGTTCATGAGCTTCATGCTTTCTCACGGAAGATGGAGTGTGCTCAAATTACATTAGCCATTCAACAGCGAGAAAGCTATTTAGCGGAGACATGGATAAATACTCCACAAGCACAAAAATTAAGAGAACAAAGCACACCACCAAGCCAAAAAGCTGATAGTACACTACCAAGACAATGAAATTGATTCTTTTGGTAAATACTGACCACAATGTCTGAGGATAAACAGTGCCATGGCCAAGCTAAAGGTTATGATTTCATAAAGACATAGTCTCTGCCCAATAGGATTTTGCAAAGTAGTAGAGCACTGCAGTAAAGGAAATATCTCAATAAATGGGTCATGCAAGTTTTTGCTTTCCTGGTGCGTATGAAAGTCATGTTTACAACATGACTAGAATGTGGGCAACAGCATTAAGTCAAATAACACAATGTGCATACCTTATATTAAAAATATTTTATTGTTAAAAGAATACTAATGATCATTGAAATTACTGGAAATATGGAACTAATAAATTTGTTGCATTCAGTATTGCCACAAACTTTCAATTTATAGTAAAAGTGAAATTAAGTAAAGTCTCTCTGTTAACTTACCAGTCAGTTAGTAACTGGAAAAAGACTTGGTTAAATGCCTAGAAGCACTGTTTCTTTCTTTCTTTTTGAACTTGCGGGGTAGGTACAGCACCGGAACTAAATCCCAGCCCTCGCGGCAGTGACTCTATGCTTAGGGCCCCATGTGCATATTAAGGCACAACTTCAACATTCAAACATTCAGTGTGACTCTGAATTAGCCTTAATTTTTTGCTTGTTCAGGGCCTCCCAATGAACCAGAGAGAAGATATGCAAAAGAAAAGAAATTTATTATTCAATAAAAATAACTTTTATCAAGTGATATGAAATAGTTCCAAGTTATACTGAGTCTTAGTGTGGTTTAATCATTTAAAATGTTTGCCATTAGTGTATAGTTTTCACTTGTATTGAATAATAAAACAAATGCTGAACACCACTAGTTTGAATCAATTTAAGAAGAAAAGATGTCTGGGCTGGGGATTTAGTTCAGTGGTGCCACCACCTTCCTTGCAAAATACAAGGACCTGAGTTCGATCCCCATACCAAAAAAGTTTTGGTTTTTTTAAAGAAGAAAAGATGTCTTATAAGGAAAGAAAAGTCAGTACTCTAAAGTAAAGGAGAAATTAAATTAATCCTAGAAGACTTTGGTGGAAGTTAACCCTGAGGCAAGGTCCTGATGGTTGGATGGCTAATACTTAAAATACAGGAGTCTGGCCACAACACTGGTATATTCTCCAACAGGGTCAGCTTCACAGACATTCGGCCTGGGCTGTTGCAGCGGGCCATGCTCAGAAATGTCATTTGCTTTGCATAATGTTCTATTATCACTGTACGAAATTTTTAGTAGTTTTATCTTCGAACATGCATTTTGTAAGTGAAGTCGGATGGTGCAATGGTGTATGTATGTACATGTCCAGGGCCATTATGTGCTACGCTATTCATATAAATGGTGTCCCATGGACACAGACTTCTGGTGACTCCATAATCAGTGAGAATCCAAAAAGACTCACAGAGGAGAAGCAGAGAGAAAAAGGACACAATAAAAGAGAGAAAGAAAAAAAATCAGAACAGAGAGTAAAACAGCCACTAGATATTTACTTTCCTCTTTGCTTGAAAAGTTATTAAAATCTTTTCCTCACTCATTTCTTCACTTATCAACTAGTCATTTTCTTTATTTCCCTCAACAGAAAAACCACAGATCAAATCCCTAGAGGACAGAGGCCAGAGGAGTTTTCACACCTGAGTATCACAGACAGTCAATAAATAACCTCACTTGCCAAGCCCCAGCACCAAAACAGCCTGAAATACAGAGATGAGCTCAAGATAGTCAGAAAAACTGAAAAAGGAGCAGACAATTCAACACAAATTACACATTTAATCCTCCCACTTTCTGGTATCACACCCATCTGAACTTGTAAAGAAACGTAGCTTTCACTGTTCTCTCTCTTTTTTTTTTTTTTGTACCAGGAATTGAACTCAGGACCTTGCACTTGAGAGGCAGGCGGCAGAACCACTCAGCCAGATCTCCAGCCCGCTTTCACTGTTCTTAACAAAAGTCCGTATTCAGGTGCACACCTGTTGCCCAAGCCATTGCAGTACCACATACTCTCCCACATAGCTCTGCACCATACAGTACACCTTTAATCAGAGCTCCATATGCAGCATCCGCCACATGAAAATGCATGACTCTCACACAGGTAAGTTCTTGAAGTCAGATACCCAACAAATGTGTTCAGTGAACAAACTCGGCATTAAATTGCTGTAGTTAAGTCTATATCTGACAGTGGGATTTCAACATTTCAGTCATGATCAGTAAATCTGAGCCATGATGCTGAGACAAGCTTAGGAAGACGCCTCTGTTGTAAAATAGAGTGGCACTCCAGCTCTGTTTCTCAAATGGGTAAGAATAAAACCTGATCTTAGCCCAGTCTTTCTGATTTTCACATTCATAGAAGCTTACAGCAAGCAGATGTTTACAACAGCCTTTGAAATCTTCCACGGGGACAGATAAGCCAGAAAGGGAGAAGAAGTAGCGACTCCAAACTCTACCATCCAAGCTTTTTTCCCTAGTGTCACAGGTCAGTACAAATCATCTGGTGTTACCATTGAAAATCTCAGTGCAGACAAGAAAGGGTTTTTGGCTCTCTTTATCTCATTGGAGTTTGGATAATGAATGCAATTATTGCAGCATTAGGAATAAATAAAATGGTTTGTTTTACAGCAATAGAAATTCAATTATTGACCATATTGATGGCTAATAAGGTAAGATAAAACACCAAACTCTAAATCTGGAGATACGAGAGGTTGTTTGAGTAACAAAGCTGTGGAAAAAACAACTGCTTAGACACAATCCCAGGGGGGGAAAAAAGATTTTGTAACATAGTGGAAGAATAAAAAACCAAAGTTTAATAATTACTAGAGACCAAATTAGAAAAGAAGGACCTCTGGGAGTCAAGGAAACTTTTCCTAAAAGAATATAAAAATTTAAAAACTAGAGACCAGAAAAACAAAGGAGACTCACAACACACAGAAAAAGATATGAATGAAAGTTAGATTTATCTTATAGGAGAAACCTAAGACGCAAATCAATTAAAGAAAAAAGTAAAAGACAATAGAAAACAAAGAGACAGATCTTGTGCAAAAGGGAAGACTGAGAGCTGGAGGGAGGGGAAGGGAAGGAAGAGAAAGGGGATGTGAAACAGAATTAAGATGTATTAATTATGTATCTGTACCAACTCTCCATCACGGATATAATCAGCGAATACTGCAATCATGTACCAAATAAGTAAGGTAAAACAGAAATGTCCTAGCAGTGGACAGGCTAATGGTCAGCAAGTGATATGCAGGGTGTGGGAGAGAGGTGTCAGAAGGGTCAATCTGGGCAAATAAATATTTAACTTGATGCTTTGACTACAGCACACAGAACTGCATGTATCATGTTATACTGCAAAGCCAAAGTTTTAAAAATAAATTTTACAATGTGAAATAGGAAGAAAGGGGCTAAAGGTGTGGGGAAAGTGGGAAGGGTAGAGGAAAGCTAATAAGGGAAAGAAAAAAATATGAGAAAATGAAAAAATGGGAATGAAGTGTTTGTAAATGGGGAGGGGAGGGGGTTGCAGGGAGGGCAGGGACAAGGGGGAAAAATGAGAACCAAGACCTGTCATGTAAAGGCACAAGATCCCAACAATGAATGTAACTGTACTGTATCCCTAAAAAGTACCAATAAACTCAATGAGGAAAAAAAATAAAATAAAATAAATTTTACATGAAAGATTTTCAGATGTTTGCACAGATGATTTAGAGAAAACAGTCTAAAAAGATTACTTTGCAGAAAAATCATCATTTTGTGTGAATCAGCTATGTACTTAAACATTGCAGGGCAACCACGCCATCCCCTCTTGAGTAGAGCCTTTCATTTGCCAAGAAGGATGTCAGCATTCAACATCAGTGACGACGGCCTCCCAGCCACTCTCTTTCTGACCGGGATCCCGGGTCTGGAGTCCTTCCGTATATGGATTGCCATCCCATTTTGTACTATGTACCTGGTCACCCTTGTTGGCAATGCTGCCCTCATTCTTGTCATTGGGACAGACGGTGCTCTCCATGCACCTATGTATCTCTTCCTTTGTCTTCTCTCACTCACTGATCTGGCCCTCAGCTCTACAACTGTACCCAAAATGCTCTCCATCTTATGGTTCCGTGCTGGTGAGATTTCCTTTGGTGGATGCCTAGCCCAGATGTTTTTTGTCCATTCTATCTATGCTCTGGAATCTTCCGTTCTTCTTGCCATGGCCTTTGACAGATATGTGGCTATCTGCAACCCACTGAGGTATACGACCATTCTCAATCACACCGTCATAGGCCAAATTGTCTTTATTGGGATATTCCGTAGTGTGGTTATTGTCTCCCCCTTCATCTTCTTGCTGAGGAGATTGCCCTACTGTGGTCACCGTGTCATGGCGCACACATACTGTGAACACATGGGCATTGCCCGACTGGCCTGTGCCAACATTACTGTCAATGTCATCTATGGGCTAACTGTGGCTCTGCTGGCCATGGGTCTGGATTCCATCCTCATTGCCATCTCCTATGGCTTTATACTCGGTGCTGTTTTTCATCTTCCATCTCGTGATGCCCAGCACAAGGCTCTCAGTACTTGTGGCTCCCACCTTGGTGTCATCCTGGTTTTTTATATCCCTGCCTTCTTCTCTTTTCTCACCCATCGCTTTGGTCACAACCGAGTTCCCAAACATGTGCACATCTTTCTGGCCAATCTCTACGTGCTGGTGCCTCCTGTGCTCAACCCTGTCATCTATGGGGCAAGAACCAAGGACATTAGGAGTCGACTTCTAAGACTACTTCATCTGGGGAAGGTCTCACTGTGAATTCTGAGCAGAAGTTGGAAAAACATAAACAGGTATGATATCCACCTGGATGCATGTTCATAGATAGTGAGTTCTGATATGAAAGGACTGGGTTTATGTGGTTAGAACTCTTGAAGGAGTGGATTGGCCACATGAGAAAGAGACTTCAATGATGACTTGAAAACCTTCTCCTGAGGCTCCTTGAAAAACTTTGAATAGTTCAGAAAGGTGATAATTCTTTCACTCTAGTCTCAAAAGTGCTAAGACTTTCTAAGGAGCAAGTCAGTGGCTTACCTTAAGTGGATGCTGGATTTTGTGACAGGAATACTCTCCTGTGAGTCAAAGTGGGAAAAAACAGTACATTTGGGTGGCACTTAAGGACATAAAGAATAGTCAGAGTGGGCCGGGAATTTAGCTCAGTGATTCTGCTTCCTGCCTTGCAAGCGTAAGGTCCCGAGTTTGATCCCTGGTACCAAAAAAAAAAAAAAAAAAAAAAAAAAAAAAAAAGGAATAGTCAGAGTGCCTGAGTTTGTGACCTTGAGGATGCCACTAAATATTTCTATGCCTCATCCTGCCCAATTGTTCAATAAAGACAATAACAACATCTAACGCCTGATATTGTGATGAAAAACACATGAGTTAATAAATGCAGTAAAGACAGTGCTTTACATGTAAAGTGTTCAGTAATAAAGGAGAAGAGGCCTGGGGTTTTAGCTCAATGGTGCCGCTGCCTGCCTCACAAGTACGAGGTCCTGAGTTCAATCCCCAGTACCAAAAAACAAACAAACAAACAAATGAGAAAGTTAGGTATCCTGTGGAAACATTATGAGACAAGTTAAGTTATCTAAGACTTTTAGGATACTGTCTCAGGCTGGTGATTCGGTTCAATGGTTCTGCCACCTGCTGTGCAAGCGCAACAGCCCAAGTTCAATCCCAGTACCAAAAAAAAAAAAAAAAAGATACTGTCTCACCTCACAGAATTATGTGATAACTATGTTATATCACAGCTCTATAATATTAAAATAGGTCTCAGGATATTATTATTATTAGTGCTTAGCAAAACTGTATTTTCTCCCAATCTTCTTCTAGTTCTTCATTTTAAGGTTCTTTTTATTTTAGCCATAAAATTATACCTTATTAAGAATTCAAGGCATGGAATTAATGTGAGAAAATGAAAACAAAGTCTTTGTAGATAGGGAGGGATGGAGAGGGTGAAGAGAGGGCAGGGGAATGGGGAATAAAAAAGAACCAAGATGGATTATGTAAGGGTGCAAATTTCCAATGATGGATTTTATTATATTGTATACTTTAAATGTACCAATAAAATTAACTTAAATTAAAAAATAAATCAAAGGAGTCAGCTCAGAGTCCAAGTTCTTGTTTTTTAACACTGCTTCAGTGTTTTAGTGCTTTCACTTCCAAAATACATAAATCCACTAATAATCCTCCAAACTCTTCAAAAGAAAGATTGTCATTTGCATTTTAAATTAAGAACCTATAATCTAACGAAACCTAAAGCCTAAGGTTATGCCTTTGAGAATGACAATATATCAGACATTAGCTGTCATTTTATAATGGAAAAATTATGGGATCGGGATCCACATGACCATGGGCTTGAATCTCAGTTTCCTCTTTTATTAATTGCATTAATTCAGACATCCTGCTTAACTATCTCCAGTAAATGCTTACTATAGCATTTGAAACAAAGCATTCAATACAGTTTGGGGCCATAGTTAGTATTTAGTTAATAATCCTTAAAGTCTAGATATTTCCATATAATTCAAATAATCTGTACTGTTTATCTGTGTTTTGATCATTGTTCTAAAATTCAGGAATTTAACTGATGTCTTACATATATGTCAAATGTACTCACTAAATATTATTAAAAATTTTTGAATCATGCTGGTTTATATCAGGCTTTGTTGAATTAATAAATGAATGATATTTCATTATAGTACTGTGATGAATAATAAAAATGTATGTTTAGCATAGTGTCTAGCAAAATAGTATTTAGTCTTATTTGTTTATATGATGTTAAAACTGTTCAGATTGAGACACCTCAGATAGATTTAAGGGAGAGTTTTTACCCAGGAAAGCGATTAACAGAAACATTATCTCAAGGTCCATTGGTGATACAGAAAAGAGCGCAGCTCTGCCCACTGAGAGCTCCCACTTGAGTCATGGGGACAAATTCTCACAGAACAAGCTTTCGTGGGCCAGGAACAGAGGAGGTCAGAGGAGAAAGATGGGAGAAATGGAGCAGAAATGGAAAGACAAAAAGGATGATCATGCAAAAAAGGAGAGCGCAGAGGGGCCTACGACTGGGAGAAGCTGGGTCAGATTAGATTTCTAGGGAGACGTCTAGATTTCTAAGGATCCTTTAAAAGTGAGGTGCAGAACAGACTTGACCGGCCTTTAGAAATTTTCTGTTTCCATGTAGATTGAAGCAATGATGGATAAATCTCAGTTGTAAATGAAATCTGAAGTAAATTAAGGCTGGTGATTAACAAAATTAAACAAAATTCCCTGACGACCACTACCCAGTACTTACATCATCCTCCCCTTAATAGGCATAGTACATTGTTTATATATCTACTCAAAAAAAATTTAACGTTTTAGAAAGGTAACTGCTAGAGCAAAGGATGGGAATCAAGGGAGAAGGGAGAGGGAAAGGCAAAGTGGCTCACTGGGGTGAAAATGATCTAAGTGCGTTATCTGCAGGTATGAAACTGCCAGCACAGATGTTGTTAATCTGTACAACTCGGCACTAATGAAAGAAAACATCACCTTTCTGTGCTAGACAAAAGTCACTGGTTCCAGGCCATGTGCAAATTATTTAGCCTGAAAAAAAAATTAGCCTGCTGTGAGAACTTGTCCCTATTAGATACACAGTCCTCCTGAACTACTTCGGAAGTGTGTCCATATTTTTACATATATAATCAGTGAAATGCAATGAACCTCAACATGGAAGCTTGCTTGACTAAGAACACTTGTTTCTCTTTTTCTGAGTCTAGCTCAACCATTCACTCTGATTGAGGCACCTAAGTTTTCCTACCAAGTGCTCTCAATGACGTATCACAGACTGTACCTCACCACTGCCAAGTCTGCCTGTTTCTTACCAAACACACAAAAAGACACAGACACAACTCACACAACCTCACCCACACACAAACACACACTTTTTTTTTTTTTTTGTACCGGGGATTGAACTCAGGTCTTTGTGCTTGTAAGGCAGGCCACCGAACCTCTGAGCTAAATCCCCGACCCAACACACACATTTTTTAATGAAACAATTATTAAACATGAAAGAACCTGAATGTAAATTTAGATATCATGAACAAAACAAATCCAATAAAATAAGAGCATTTTTTGGTTTAATTAAAATAGCTAGCCTATATTTGGTTGATATATATATTGTGTATTTGCAAAAAACATACTTACCCAATCGTAGGCCCCAGTGAAATATTATGCACCACATAATCATTCAAGTTTTCATGAGATCTTTTTCTTTTTTCCTTCAAATTGTCTTTATTTATTATTTTTATTTTTATATAATGCAAGTAGATTCTTAAACATGCACAATTTGAAAAGAAAAACAAATTCTTTCCTCTGATCCCTGAGGAAACTCCCCTATTATTTCTCTTCCATCCACTCCACAGTGACATTATTTTGTTTTGTGTTGATACGGTAACATTTTTCAGCAGCAGGGAGAAATTCAGTTTGTTCTTTTATAAACATATCAACAACATCTTTCTTGTTTTTTGGATTATTCTCTGATCTTCTCCTCTCTACATGAAATTCTCAATTTCTGAAGAGCAGGAAACACTTTGATCTTTCCTATGTATCCGGTCAAGGCAGGATACACTTTCTGATCACTAATTCAGAGAAACATTGCTTCTCTCCGAGAAGCACATAAAGGCAGCACCATAGTCTCTGGAATCAGCGTTTGGATTCCTGTATCTCCATCAATCACAAAAGGTGTGATGCTGGAAAATTACAGAGCTTCTTTCTGCGTCCTTCTTCTCCTTTACAACCTAATGTTAATTTCTCTTACTGTTTAAAGGGGTTAATTTAATTGCTGTGTTGAGAATAAGGAGAAAGTATGGTGACACTGTCAGGACTGCTGTTGTGATAGTACCAGTGGAAGTGGTCAAGGTCAAGATGGCGTCACATGTGTCAAAAATATATAGAGTCAGGAAGTTAAGAAGGGCAAGAATTCTGCACGCACATCCATGAGAAAGACATTAGAAATTCCCCGAAGGGCTTGTGTGCACATATGCTTGTCTCTAAGACAAGGACTTTTCAAAATACAGCTTGCCACATACGTGACAAGGACAAGTCTAGGAAAAGAACAGAGAAAATCAATGTCAGTATGAACAATTCCTCAGAGTAGCCACTCTTTCAAGAGAAGTGAACAGAAAAATATAATGGTAGATAGAGAGAGAAGTAGACCCGAGACATAGACACGTGATTTTTGGTATGTTAGTGTGTTCTTTTTATTACATATATATTATATATAGTAGGTATATATTAGGGGTATAGCCAAGAAGGGCGTATTCTTGTCCCTAGATTTCCTTTCTTTCTCTGCTTCCTGGCTGCTGTGGGTGAGTGGCTTTCCTCCACCATATACCCTTCCACCATTCTGCTTCTTTCTCCTCTGGACACAGGCAATTGTAGACTGGGCCCACTGAAACCATGAGCCAAAAATTTTTCACCCACTTTCAGTTGTGAATGTCAGATATTTTGCCCTAGCAATGGGAAAGTGACTTGTCATTCTGATAAGCCAGGGGGAATCAAAGAATAATAAAAGTCAACCCAGGGAATACAGTATATATTTAAAAGTGAAGGCACGTCTACAGGATTTGTTCAGAGACCGCTGCTGACTTTAGCAAGGTTGGTTCCATGGAGTAGGAAGGCAAATCCAGCAGCAGAAGGGATTACAATCAGTGTAAAGAAGCGTTTCTAAAATTTTTATGGAAAAAAAGAAAAGAGTTCCTACAGAGAAGGTAAAGGTTAAGGAAAGTCTTATTTCATGGTTACAAGGGATGGCAGGCACTGCACCCCTCTAATCTGTAGCTAGCATGCTGATCTGGTCCCTCCAGACTACTAGAGTCTCCTGCAATTGCAGTGCTACTCACATTGAGGCACCTGCTCTCTCTGAATGGTAAAATTGCTGCACAGCTACCACCGTTCAACTTAATTATAGATTTAAAATTGTTCTGCTCCCCTCACCTCTATTTTACTATGACTGTATGAAGAATCTAAGGTCTCTTTCCAATATTTCCTAGATACACACTCTACATTTCACCTCCCTCTGCACTCTCACTTGGGCAAAATTACAGAGGCCAGTGTATAATGTCATCATCATACAGGACCAAAATCAACAGCCCTACTGAAGGAGGACTCGATGCTTTTGCCTTTATGCCAATCCGTGCAATTCAGTTATTTATATAAGGGATATCTTCTCCAACTACAGCAACTGGAAGAACCAGTTCTGTTCAGTTTTCTTGTCCTATATTCTGTCTCCCCAGTATACTGTTGTAGTATAAAGGGCTGGGTTAAAAGACATCTGACTGCACATTGTTTCATTTTTTTTAATCGAGTTTATTAATACAATCTAGGTCTACAATACAGTTACATTCACTAATAGGATCCTGTACCTTTACATGATAGGTCTTGGTTCTCATTTTTTACCCTTGTCCCTGCCCTCCCATCACCCGCTCCTCCCCTCCCCATTTACAAACTTGCACATTGTTTTCTACATCAGTTAGTTAAATATAGATTTGGGGGAATCGGGTATTCGTACTACTTCAGTAACTACGTTTTTATTCTTAGCTATGCTCCTTCACATCTACATCTGCATACTTTTAAATGAACTCAGATCACACCTATTTCTTGTGCTTGTGCTCCTGTGAGCAGCTGGCAAACTCCAGCCTTTTGCACCATCCCTTTGGCATGCTTGCGCTTCTTTGGTGGCCCTATGTCTACACCCGATGCCTTGTTTGAAGTAGTTGATTCCCCGTAGAAAGGGGAAGCTAGGATCAGAATAACCAACCTAAAATTTCACCCACATGCTTTGCCATTTGTACAGTGAAGATAAAACCCTACACCTTGCAGGCACTTCAAAGGAATAGTTATAAAACCTAAAAGGCGAACGGTTCTTAGTGCTTAAAGAATGCCACTGGGATGATTATCAAGGTCCCACCCCAGAACATATTTCAAGGAGCCACTTTCTGAACTTCCAGTTTTTAATACCTAATTATAGCTAACACTGACAGTTAAGGCTAAAGGCAGTATATTGACCAAAGCAATTAAGCATTTCAGTTTATTTCCTACAAGAAAAACTGTTATGTCAATTGGTCATTGTATTTTGTAATTTAATTTTTACAGTTCTGTGTGTCAGTAGATGTCTCTCTGCTACGTCTGCAATTGCAATTTTGGTTAATTTTGCTATACAGCTACAACTGATACGTCTACTACTGAGCAGAAATGATTTCATCTCTGTGCCTCTACCATTAATAACATATGACAGCGGTAATTTATGCCTATGACTGTCACATTTTTTTCTACAATATAGCAAGTCCCATGTTATATCCTCCATGTTATCTAAGCCCTCCTCTAGTTTACAATACTACTGTACAACTCAGTGACCTTTTCATTACAGTGTGTAATAACATGGGTCAATGCAGGTACATGTGGGTATTGTGGGATTAGGCCCACCCATTCTGCCCAGCATCCTTCCCCGTTTCCTAGGATTTTAATCCTACTCCAGTACTGATATTGCAGAACAGACTGGTTAGGACCGAAATCCTCAACTCTCTTTTCCAATTCTGGCTTTTCCAAAATCTCCTCACCTCTCTTTGTCCTGCTGGAGAGATAATGAGGAATGCAGAGACTCCATAGTTGCTAATACCTTGAGGGAACGGGCTCCAGCCTGGACCCTGTGCTAGCACCCTGTGGATGTAGCAGAGGGCAGTTCTTCTCAGTGGTTTCCCAGTGCTGACAAAGCCTATGATTATGAATTGTCTTTGCCAGCTTGACTCAAGTGAGAACTCCGTGGCAGATTAGTAAAGTTCTGTGGTGGCTAATGCAGAAGGTTCGCACATTTGAGGCTAACCTGGGCAATTAGAGACTTAGCAACACTCTGTCTCAAATTTTTAAATAATAATAATACAATTAAAAGGGGTAGGGCTGAAGATGTAGCTCAGAAGGCCCTAGGTTCAATCATCAGTAAGGGGAAACAAAACAAAACAAAAAAAGCGCTGACAATATATGTCTTCTGCCTTACTCCAGGGATATTCAAGCCTACTGCTGAGATCTCAGAAAACCTCATGTTCCGTCATCTTCCCTCCATCCCATGGCCTGTGTCACTCTTCCCTGGCACCACGCATGAGTAACTGATCTCAGAAATTCTGACCAATGTCTTGGTGCTAGAGGCAAATAAAGAACAAAGTATACCAGGCTCATTACTGGAAGGTTGAGGCTGCAGGGATATTTGAGCCACAGTCCCTAATCTCTACTACCTCAGGTCTCTAAATTCATGAAGCACCATGGAGTTTCGGTATCTGCCTCAGACATATTCATCCACCGTGGGTCCAAGGAAGCACAAGATTCAGCTGCTCATCATCCCAAATGTGACTGACTCCTAAGGCTGTCTCTGAATGTTTAATCATTTTCCCTTATGGAATTTACCAAATGTGCTCCTCCCCCATGATAATTTCATCAGCCTTTGTCCTGCTACAAGGCTGCATGAAGCCACACTAGTACTTCTATGTAGCATGCTGTGCTGTATAAGATGGGAAGTTTACAGTAGAGGTTGTTGGGTGGGTTGAGAAATTGTTTTTTATTGATGACTTTCCCCGAGTTAAGGGAAACATAAAATAGAAATGAGTCAGAAGAAAGATACTGAAATATATTTGGAAATTCTCAGCAAAAGATTCCCAAGAAAAGGCCAGTGGCTGGATAAAGTACAAATATTAGACTAAGTGACTTAGAGACTCTGCATATAGAAGTAAGAGCTAGAGCTTTGGCTGTAAAAACCACCACATTCGCTGAGAGAGGAAGGAAGACTTGGTATAATATACTCTCAGGAAGTACCACTCTATGAGAATGTATAAAAAGTAAAATAAAGGAAGCACCTTCAGAAAACAGGAGTCAATAGGTAAGATTCCATATAAAAATTTTGGAAGATGAGGCATGAGAAAACTTTGAAAATACCTCTGTGCTTTACTGGGAAAAAATTAACTGAAGAGGGTCATGAAATTTTGCCTCTGAGGGAAGGAAGGGAGGGAGGGAGGGAGGGGTAAGGGAGTGAAGGAGGAGGAGGTATGGGAGGGAGGAAAAAACTCTCAATTTTTTAACTCCCAAAATCACATACCATGATCAGTCCCTTTCTAAATAGTATTGTACTTGCCAACCCACCAAATTTAAATCACACATGTGATCCAAGCCATCTTTTTAATGTAGAATAGGCTGGAGCAGTAGGAAGGACTGTCCAAATATGCTCACGTTCCAGACCTGAGTAAGAGGATTCCCTAAAATAAGTGACTTTTCCCCCCTCCCCTTCCTTTCCTGGTGGTGCATTGTGAGCATCTTCTGAGGGGACCTAGGCCTGTGGCTCTCCCAACAGCCTCTCAATGGCAGCATGGATGTCTCTCCATTTGTAGCTATCAGGGCCTGAAGGTTGGCATTGCGATTGGCAAAACCCAGGGCCTTCAGCTGCTCCAGTTCTTGTTGGTAGTGATTTTCTGTGAGGAGGGATGAGGATAATGGTGATTGCGTAGACTGGGAACAAGCACAGGCCAGTGCATGGAGAAGTTGAAGAATGGCCAGCGTGGGTTGCACAAGGTCTTCTCTATGCCCTTGTCTTCCACCCCTAGATTCTGGGACTCTTCTGGCTCTACGTAGTCTAGCTGGATCCTGTAAGAATGGTCTCAGACCAGGCACCTCCCTGGACAGTATCTATAGACCTTGTTCTATCTGTATCAATGCCTGCAGTGCTCGTGGATTGGTGAGGATGGGAAGTAGTGCTATATGATGTCGCAGGGGACTGCTAGTTGTCAGCTGGTGTAGCAGAGTTGGATTCTTCTGTAGGACATGCAAAGCTTGGCACAAAAGAGAAGGTGATGGTCTTAGCTGATTGGTCATAGGGGCTTTCTCCACAGGCTGCTGACTATCCTGGGAAGGAAGATCTTGACCTTGGTATGAGTCTGGCATGCCATTCTTACATCCTGGACTGGCCTGATTTGATGTCACACCCCTGCCCTGTGTAAATCCTCCCTTAATGACTTCTTGTGCCAGTGGTCTGGCAGGTGCAGGAATGGTAGGGATGGTGGTGGTATCAGAACTACTGTAAGCATTGACTTCTCCTCTGTAAGACTCTGAACCTGAGATGCAGCCTTTGGAAGCAATCAGTAAGTCCAGAGTGGAAAGCATGAGCTGCTGGACATCTGAGGCAACTGGACGCATAGCATTGTCCCCACCTGGCACTGCCCTCAAGGCTTTCAGCCTCTGCTTGCTTGTCTGCAAAAGCTCCTGTTGCTGGGCTGGCTCCTGCAAGGTTTCCAGAGTCTTAAGAGCTGAGTCATATTTCTGTACTGACCTTGTGGGGTCAGGAATGTGGCTGGCCATGGCTTGTTTCTCATTTGCTAGTCTTTGAATTGGAGGGTCTTCCAAGAACTGCACCAAAGACCCTGGAGCAGTCATCAGGAGTTGTGCCAGGTGGCCGAAGAAGTCAGCCAGGTCAGGTGAGGTCCGGGCTAACCTGCCCAGCCTCCCTAGCATCCCAGCAAGCTCAGAGGTTGATGGAACAGAATGATGGGTGGTCTGGTCTGTGGTGCTTGGCAGAACTTTAGGACTGGCTATCCGTTTCAAAGGTGTCCTTACCACCAAGTGGACTGTGGCACCATCACCAATGCCACTCTGGCTCAATATGTCTTGATCCCGGAGGACCTTTCCAGTGAAGATGAGCACCAGTCTGTCAGTGTCACAGTGGAGACGTTTGGAGATCTGCTTCTTAAAGTGACGGATACTGCTATTTTCTGCTAGCAAAACTTCCTGGCAATCCTGTGGAGTCTTGACAGACACTCTGATGAGGTGCAATGATGGCTCCCGACCGGATACCAGCTGGCTATCCCCCGCTTCTTCCCTAGCCTGTGCCATTTTTTCTTAAGAACAAAATGAGGACACTGTTGGGCACAGATGTGTAGGAGCCTAGATGTGGCACTGATCACCCCCGGGAGCAGGAACAAATAGGTGTCCAGTGATGTCCTTTCACCGACGTCCTGCAGATGCCACCTCCCAGTGGAGCCCTACAGTCACCTGGCTCCCAAAGAGGGGGCAGCTGCTTTTCTCCTAGGCCAGCCTCAGGAGACATCAGTGATGAGGTGTCAGTCATGAGGTCACAGTGCAGGCAGACCTGAGTGGGGGAGGGCAGAGTTCTAGACCACCTGCCTGATCTTGGACTCTCTTTGTGGTTTGACTTGACATCAACAGAAAAAGAAAATCTAAGTGCCCCTACTGTTGAAAATCCTACCAGTAGAGTTTGACAAATGAATTTGACTCAGTAAGAAAGGCAGTGGTCTAAGCATTCATTTAGGAAGTAGTGATTCTGGTCACTAGTCTTCCACTAAACTCTTGTACACAGCCAAGGCCTTGACTCCCTGTGTCAGGATGAACGGAATGAAGATGTGTGTAAATCGTCCATGCAGTCTCACTGGGGACACTTGGTACTCTGAGACCTCCAGCTTGAGTAACCTATCTATAATACATGGTCCCAAAGATGCCACATACGTCATTAAGGTAGCTCTCAGAGAAACAACCATGCTGTCAAACCAAGAGGCTCAAAGCTGAGATGAGAAAAATCATAGGAAAGTAACAACTTGGCTCTAAGTCAATATGATTTAACAACTATTCAAAATGAGTTGATAGTAACGTATTGAAAGAGGAGTCCTGTAACTTGGGAGGGGAAATATTCAACCCTTCAAGAAGATAAGGCATTATTTAGACCAAGCCAAGTGGGGAGCGCCCTGGGTTAAAATCTCTCACTGCAAGAATTATTGGTTATTCTGCAGATGGCCGAATCAGGCCACTTGCAGTTTGTATCATTAGCCTTTGTCATTTTATAATTGATATTTTCTAAAATTCTAAAATTTTCCAGGACTACAAAATTAGAATTTGGCTACCTACAATGCTACCTCCAGAAGACCCTGCTAGATCTAACATCTAGATCCTCTGCAACCACATTATTTACCATCTACTGAGATATGACCTTAAAGTTTGATTTGTCTAAATCAGTATCGCCAGTGTGCAAATCCATATCAAGATTTGAAAGACTGTAATTTCTGAGTTTGAAAGAACTTCCCACCCCAGGGACTTTCATTGTGCCTCATGGCCAGAAGTCAGCCAGAACTTGGCCTCTTCCTGATAATGCCCAGCACAGCTTTCCCACGCAAATATTACAGCATAACCTTGGTGATTTCCTTTGGATTCTCCCTTGCACAATCAAATATTTAAGTTGATGTTTCTGGCTTTCTCTCTTGAAACTCATTAGTGTGTAGTAGGGATTAAAGAACGTTCCAAATAACAATTATTAAGAAACACCTCTGCATATTCCAGAGATTTTTTTTTTCCTCTTCTAGATTTGGAGACGAAACATCCCTTGTTCTTCATAGACACTTTGTTGTCCATAGCTGAAGAACTGAAGAGGAATAGATTTTCAAAAGGAAATCAAGAATACCGTATTGTTTTGACTATATTCAGTGTGAAGCCCCTGTTATATTTCAGGAGAGATTACAATTCCAGTGATAGGGTCATGTCAAAGCTGGAGATGTAAATCTGCTGTTGCTGAGCATGTAAGAGTGTTACTGAAAGCCATGAGAGCAGAGCACCTAGGCCAGGAATGGTGAACCTTTCGGAGCTTTCCGTGACAACAAAGGGCCGGCTGCACACACAACATAGGTTCACTACCACTAATAAGCAAACTTCAGGCAGCAAAAGTCTGAGTCTGAAAGCTGACCCACATCTGTGATGCTTTATTTTTGTTGGGTACATTCATAGAAGTAGAATTACTTCTGGATCAAAGAATAATCAAAATCCTTTTTTTTTGGTACCAGGGATCGAACTCAAACTCAGAACCTTGCACTTACGAGGCAGGCACGGAACCACTGAGCTAAATCCCCAACCCTCAAAATCTTAAGCTTGTTTAACAATTTAGCAAGTGACTTTCAGAGTGTCCGCATTATCATGTCTCTCCATTAAAACCAGGCACAGTGGCCCCAGGACTAATTTTTAGCAAGAAGATTTGACAAAGTACAAGACAAGTCTACAGTTAAAGTGAAGCAACCCTATTTTTTCTGTACTTTAAATTTAGTTGCCCACTTGTGACTTTCGGGGGGTAAAAGATTTAAGGTTTTGGTTTTGGGTTTTTTTGTTTTTGTTTTTGTTTGTTTGTTTTTTTTTGTTGTTGTTTTTATTTTTTTGTTTTTTGTTTGTTTTTTTTTGGTTCCAGGGTTCAAACTCGGGTTCTTGCGTTTGCAAGGCAGGCAGTGGAACCACTGAGCTAAATCCCAGGCCAGGTTTAAGTTTGATAGAATTCTCAGGTAGAACTATAATTCAATATGCAGTTTTTACCAAGTCAGTCTCGTACTTTGTCAATTGGTGCACTTGGCCAATGTTAAAGTTAACTTAGAATCTATGTTGTAGAGGTACAGAAACTATCCATTACCCTTTTATCTGTTTAGTTATATAAATTCTTTAATATGTAAATGTTAGCTTTACAGTTGTATCAGATTTGCAGAGCCATGCCTAGTTCTTAAAGAGTACTGTACATGAGTTAGCTATTACTGCTAAGATGTCATTTCCGAGATACTGTAAACTCCTTAAAGCAGGAAATGTAGTTATCTGTTCACCACTTTATTTATAGCACCAAGCACAATTTCTGACATATAATAAATATTCAAGAAATATTAGCTGGGTGTGATGGCACATGCCTGTAATCCCAGCACTTGGGAGGCTGAAGCACAAGGATAGCCATGAGTTTGAGTCCAACCTGGGATACACTGTGAGTTCAAATCTGGCGAGACTCCTGTACTACATAGCAAGACCCTGTTTAAAAAACACAGGAAACAAAGAATATTTTTTGAACTAGTGAGTTTCAAAATGTTGCTTAATAACTTAGAAAATTTCATGATATACCCAATAGTTTCCCTGGTGTGAAAAACTGTAATAGTACATAAGATCCTAACGAGGTAATTGACAATGTGAAATAGGAAGAAAAGGGCTAAAGGTGTAGGGAAAGTAGGAAGGGTAGGGGAAAGCTAATAAGGGAAAATAAAAAAATATGAGAAAATGAAAATAAAGTGTTTGTAAATGGGGAGGGGAGGAGTGGGTAAAGGGAGGGCAGGGAAAAGGGGAAAAATGAGAACCAAGACCTTTCATGTAAAGGTACAAGATCCCAATAATGAATGTAACTGTACTGTATACCTAAAATGTACCAATAAACTCAATGAGAAAAAAAAAAGAAAATTTCATGATTTATTAGCCTGTTTAAAAAGGCAGATTATAAATCTAGGTACAATACAATCATGGTTTTATTAAGTCATGTGGAAAGACAAACATCATATTAATGCTATCTAGGTAGTAGAATTATTTTTATTTTTATATTCTTTGATTTAACCTATGTGCTATCTACAATTTAGATAAATAAATTATTATAGGAGTGGAAGCTTTACAACTTTTATCGAAGATACATAATCATTCTTGCATAAAAATCAACACACTATCTATCCAAAATGAAAAGATTCATGCAGTAACTGGTAGCATAGTTTTATCACAGCAGTGCTCATTCAGTGTAAAAGGGAAACTATACTCAAAATAACCATGAAAATTTAATTTTTAAATACTCTCAAATATGTAGGACTTATGCAAAGAAATTATTGTTTTACAGAGAACAATTGAATTTGAATAAATGAAAACTTTTTTTAGAGGAAAGCCTGTCTGGTGCAAACTTCTCATTTCTCCTCTAATTTCTAAGTGTAATAAAAAGCCAATCAAAACCTAGTTTGGAGGGCCAGGGATTTAGCTCAGTGGTGCCACCGTCTGCCTTGCAAGTGCAAGGACCTGAGTTCAATCCCTAGTAAAAAAAAAAAAAAAAAAAATCTAGTTTAGCCTTTTCTGAAATTAGAATCTGCTATAAAGTGTATTTTAAAAAAATAAGTGAGGGGCCAGGGATTTAGCTCATAGTAGTTCCACAGTCTGCCTCACAACCTCAAGCGTCCTGAGTTCAATCCCTGGTATCAAAAAAAAAAAAAGACTACAGACTAAAAAACTAAGTACTGTATCCCTAAAATGTACCAATAAACTCAATTAAAGCTGAAAAAAATAGGGAAAAAAACTAAGTGAGGGCTAGAGATTTAGTTCAATGGCACTGTGCCTGCCTAACAAGTGCAAGGTCCTGAGTTCAATTCCCAGTACCAAAAAATAACAGTAATAATAATAATAATAATAATAATAATAATAATAATAAAGTGGACAAAATTAGTCAATGGTATTTTTCAGAAGAATAATGAACCAAAAGGTTGTGCCATTAAGTATTTTGAAGTTAAAATAATTGAGGAAATGTAGTACTGGGAGCCAAAATTAAAACCAAAGAAAGAAAAATATACTTATACACATATCCTGCCATGCTATACTTTTTTAAAGAATAAGTATTAAATCATGAATTAATTTTATTTGGCACAGTGATTAAGAGTATGTGCTCTAGAAACTGATTGCCTCATTTTAAATCCTTGGGTCTAATGTGGAGAAGCTTTATATCTTTGAGCAATGACCTCTCCTCTCACCATATTTCAGCTTTCCTCATCTATAAATTAGGAATAATAATACCGCCTGCACTAATAGAATCAGAATTAAAAAGTTTGGAACAGGACCTGACATATAGCAAAACCTCAATAGGGGTTAACAACTAATAAAATTAAACAGTAAAACTCTGCAATCTCTTGTACAAATATAGGCACGCATTTATAATGGAAATATTAGGAGAATATTAAAAATGGAAAGAACACAGACACATAGAAGCATTTCCTAATTTTGAATAGTAACTTTTAAACTGCTGCCTACCGCCTTAGGTATTTTTGATACAGATCAGCACGGCAGACCTAACAACTGTTTTATGTTATGTTCTTGCTTTCTAGAAAATATTTTGATGGAAGAAAAGGTACAATTTCTTTGGCAGGAGTCAGGTACCAGGCAAAGCATGATTGAAGCTCTCTGAACTTCCCACTTATACAATCACTGAGCCTTGTTCCCCCAAGGCCTGGATATGTGGTCTTGCACTGTTTCTGAAAGTGAGGGACTCAGAGCAAGGACAGCAGATGGAAGTCCCATGAGATCTGCACTTTCTGCAACATCAACCTTCAGGGATTTCCTCTCCACAAAATTTCATTGGCCTTTACTTTCACAGACACAAGCTCTGGTCCTGTGGCATCTTCTGATTCATTTGTATTCACCCAGTCTGCCACGCTGCTTTCTCATTGAGTCACTCCTTTCCTTACTAATAATCCAGTATTTAATCATTCGGTCGTCTATTAAGTGCTTCCCACCTGCCAGATCTTACCTTAGCTCCTGGGTAGAATGCATTGATCTTGCTGCCATGGCAACCTCCTTTTCCTCAATTCACCCCCATGGAGCCAGGAGTGAGTCTGAGTTCTGTCTCTCATGAGGCTAGAGCAAGGATTTCAAGAACCTAACCAACTTTGGAGGGCTCTGAAGAGTTGGTGGAAATGTAAATTAGTACAGCTATGATGGAGAACAGTTTAGAAGTTCCTCAAAAAACGTTAAAAATAGATCTACCATATGACACCGGTATTCCACTTCTAGGCATATATCTGAAGGAGAATGAAATCAGCACACAAAAGAAATACCTATACACCCATATGTGTTATGGTATGAGTCATAATCCTTCTAGATGAATGCATAGAAGAAAAGTGTTACACGTTGAAATATTATTCAGCCACAAAGAAGAATGAAATTCTGTCATTTGCAGCAAAATACATGGAATTAGAGAATATTGTGTTGGGCCAGGGATTTGGCTCAGTGGTGCTGCTGCCCACCTCGCAAGCACAAGGACCCAAGTTGGAGCCCCCCCAAAAAATGTAGAGAACATTACGTTAAGGGAAATAATTCAGAAATGCATGTACTCTCGCATTTATGGAGATTTTAAAAAGTCAGCCTGAGTAGAATAGTGAAATGCTAGAGATTGGCAAAGGTGTTGGTTGGAAGGGATGGGTAGATTTTTTCAATCCAGGCTGTGTGCATGTATGGGAACATCATAGAAATATGGATAAATAATATGTTAATAAAATATTTTAAAAGAAGGTATAACAAAAGCAATCCTGTTTGCCTTGGTGATCTGAGCTTAACATTATACAATTCTTTAAGCTTCCTCTGGCCTAGATAGAAATCAGATAAAAGCAGTGAAATTTCTTTCCATGGAGTTTTTCCCAGACCTGTCCTTCCAAAGTTGGAAATGATGGGTTATACTGTGCACCTTCCCCAGTTACAGGCCATATTGGAGGATTTGCCTTATGAGTGTCAGAGAATGGAAAGGTGAGTGGTTCTTCTTCTTTTCACTGATTACAACTGTAAATAACAGTTCTGTCGATTTGGACAAGCATGCTTCTTCCACTGATGGGGAAATGAGGGAACGTCAAAGACGTGTGCCCCAGTTAAACCAAAATGACTAAATTTCAATTATTTCCAAAAGTTGGACTCATCTTCTTTGAGCCACATGCCAGTAGCTCCAAGGTAGACAGGCTACTGTGTCTCTGGCTCCAAGTGGAGTTGTTTCTCAGTCCCTAAGGGATATCGCCTATATATTGAGTCTCAGACTTCTAAAAACATACCACAGGCATTTTTACCATCGTAGTACATGTCATTGGGTGTCCTTTTTTTCCTTGACTTTAATAAGACTGAATGTTTATCTTTACACTTTCACTTTGTGTAAAAAATCTGAATGTTTGGGTTTTGTATGCATATATAAACATGTGCATAAGTTATGTGCATGAAAGTATATTTAAGTAGATATACCTCATAAATTTGTTCATTTCTTACCAGCACATATTCATGAGCTTAAATATAGAACATATGCTGGTAAGAAATATATATATTATATATAATAGATATATATAATGCACACATATAACAGATGTAGACAGATAGATAGATAGATAGATAGATAGATAGATAGATAGATAGATAGATAGATAGATATCTTCGTAAGTATCAGTATGAGTACTGGGAAACATGTTTCATTTGATCGCCTTTCGGATTATAATATTTTTACCCTAAAGATAGAAGAATGATGGAAAACATACCTAAAGGAAAATAAGAATTTTCTCCAAGATACTGGGGGCAGCTCTTGTGGTTGATGTACCTCCTACCTCGGTGCATTCATACATAGTGGCTTTTCTATGGGAATACCTTTCCCTCACCTTTAAAGTTTTACCTATTTAACTCCTATCACTTTTTTAGTGTTAACCCTGAGGACACACAGAAGATTTTCCTCTCTTCCTAGATTAGACCAACAAGAAACCCATTTATGCTCTTTGTAGCTTCTAATCTTTTACTTCATAGAATTTATCATCATAGTTTGTAAATAAGCATAGTGATATACAGCTTGAACCATTCCTACTGCCATACCATGAACTCATAAAAGTGGTAGTATGTCTCTTTTACTGAAGATGAATTCCTAATGACTCACAGATGCTGAACATAGGCTAGATAATTTTTTAGCTACATGTTGCAAACAAATCAACTCTGAATCTGTCTACCAAGGACATTAAAAACTTAGTGAAATTCTAGAATCTTAGAATTTGGCCTGAGTCCCAGCTGTTCTATCTCTGTCTACTCAAAGATCAGCATTAAATCATGAGAGTGACAGCCATTTGGAGGACAGACGTCAGGGGCAATAGATATAAGAAGCCATGATGATCCTTCAGATAGGCTGGTGGGAATGATTCCCACAAAACAGATTGCATAGGGGCAGCTACTACAGGACACAAAAGTTCCTGGAAGACACCAGAGAAACTGTGGACCTCAGTCTTCAAAGGGTTGCAGCAACTTTCCCACCAGTCCCATGCCTGTGACTCTTCTAACTTCAAACTTTTAGCCTCCCTCTAAACTCTTCCCTCCTTAGAGACAGCCCTTATCACCCATTCTTCTCCCATATCATCCTCTTGTCTCATAACCCACAAAAACCAGACTCAGGCAGCAGCTGACCCTGGAGATTGCATGTAATTTAATCTCAAGATTGGCATACAGGGAGCTCAGGCTGGGGCCTCCACAGTAGTACAGTGGTGGGGGTAGTTGAGTCATATACAGCAAACCCCTCTACACACACATCTGACTCTTCTTCCTCATTGACTCTGGAGCCATAGTATCTGGAGCCACATTAAAGGCCATCATAGTAATTCTGGTTTATAGCACCACTGTATTCAAGCATGGCAGAGCTTGGGTAATAGGATATAAGGGAAAGGCACGGAGGAAAAGATAAGGTCTGTAAACTTGTGCTCCTATGACTGCCTCAGCTTCTCCACAGCTGCATCTACATCACCCCCTGTGGCAATGAGGGCCTGGAGATTGGCTTCAGGATTTAGAAAGCCCATGGCCCTCAGTTGCTCCAGTTGGACCTGGAAATGAACTTCGGGATGTGACTGCTGGGGATTGGCACCAGCCATGGCATGCAACATCTGGAGGAAAGGAGAAGAATGGAAACTTGGCTCTGTAGAGCCCTGTCCAGGGGAAACCTGAAAAGAGGGAGTTGGCTGGGGATGCTCGGACATAAAGGAAACTTCTCTAGTCTGTGTACCTTCTTCCACACCACCCACCCCTGCTAGGCAAGGCATGAGCCAGAGTAGGAGGTGAGGTGCTTCAGTAGCCAGGATCTGCAGACCCTGTTCAATCTGCAGCAGGGCTTGCAGCACACGGGGGGTTCCCATGGCTGCTTGAAGGTTCAGCAGTAGTGGTAGTTGTTGATGCATCTCATCCTGCAACTGTGAAGCCTGATTTATACCAGCTGGTCTCATAGATCTTCCATGACCTGGTGGTGGAAGCCAGGGAGAGTGAGGGACACCAGGAGCTGCAGTCATAGGAGAAGGTGGCGAAGGAACAAACGAAGCCACGTTGGCAGAATTGCCTAGCCCAGACACAAGATCAGGCATGCTAGAGCTGTGGCCAGTAGAGTTCTTCCCTGCAGCATTTTGGCCTCCACCTTGCCCAGTATTGCTCCCTGACTGGTATCTCAGGAAAGCTGGACAAGAGGAATTTCCCTTGATTGCTACTGACTCCTTCGGAAGAGGCTGGCCTGACCTACTGTCCTGGGATGAGGATGAAGTTGAGGGAACTCTGTTTCCTGATGATGGTGGTTCCTGGCTTGGGCTGTGGGTAGATGCAGTCCCCTGAAGACAGGTCCCTAGGGACTGGGGTGTCTCATGTAATCGCTGCAGATAATGATAGAGCCCTATGTTACCCAGAAAGCTTGGGACTCTGTTTCTAGTTTCAGATGTGTCCTGGCCTCCAGGTTGCCTTCCTTGTCTGCCACCTGAGTCTGCATACATGGAAGTCCAGGGGTTGGGAAGCGGATCACAATTCTCTGTCCTTGAAGGTTGACTGCTGCTACTGATATTAGTAGTAGTGGTAGTGGCAAAAGGATTGCCACCAAACTGCTCCTGTACTGCATTAAGCATTGGGTCCATTATATCTGTGTACATGGTACGAAGCACATTGTAGCCACCAGGGATGCTCTCCAGGTTACTGAGAGCGCGATCCTGGCTACGCATCATCTCTTGCATCATGGCAGGGTTACGGAGAAACTCCAAGGTTTGTCGCATGATTTCAGGGTTGTTTAGAATATGTCCAACCTCAGGGTTGTGCTGGATCAGCTGCTGCATGTGAGGATTATCGAGAACCAGCTGGCGTACCAGTCCTGTGTTGGACAGCAGACCCTGGATGAAAGGGTCATCAATCAGCTCAGCCAAAAGTTCAGGCAGTGACACATGCTGCCCTATCAGTGTACTTGGCTGGTCAGGGAAGCTACCAGGCATCAGGCCCAGCCCAGTGAGGACATCTAAGCTGAAGGTGGGAGGCTCATCTACAGAGTAAATGGAGCTTGGCTGGGGGAGAGATCCAGGCCTTGGACCTGGGGTAGGGACTGAAGCAGCTGGGCACTGAGTACCTATGGAGTGGCGCTGCATCTTGATGACCAGGTGAATGGTGAGGCCATCTCGTACTCCACACTGTGCCAGCGAGTCAGAGTCCTTGAGGATTTTGCCGGCAAAGATGAGGACCAGTTGATCGGGGTGGGCCTTAAAGCGCTGAGATATCTCTTCCTTCAGCTGCTGAATGGTGCATGTATCCATAACTGAGAACTCTTCCTTATCCTTGGGTGTCTTCACTGTCACCTTAATGAGGTGGGGATCCTGGACTGCTGCTGGGCTGCCCTGTGGCAGAGCCTCTCCACTTCTAGCCATGGTGGACAGCAGAAAGCTCAGTCTTTGGGGACACAGCTGGGAGACAGAGATGGGAGACCAAGGTCATCCTTAGAGTGGTGGTGAAAGTAAGAAAAACTAGCATGAAGAGGGTTCAAGGTAGGGGAAACTGTAGGGCCTACATGGGAGAAGGATTATAGGTTTATGGGATTAACAGATATTGGGGCAAGGAAGGAAAACCTGAGGCCCTGGGAAAGACGTCATCAGTTGATGATCGGAGGGGCAAAGTTAGACAGAAGGACCCACTCTGGGGAATCCATACCAATCAGCTGTGGCCCCCTCCTTCCTCTTATGCAGTTCTCCAAACCACCCTCATCTTGCTGTGCAAACACCTGAGGCCATCTGGACTGGAACTCACTCCATCTGATAACCTTTGTGACCTCAGAACTGACATCATAGCCTCCCATGATGGATTCTGGAGACTCCTCCAAGGTTCTCCGGTTCCCTGGGAACCTACCCACCTTGCCTTACCTCTTTACTCCCTTTACCTCCATTTCGTTCTTCATTGTGAGCACCCTGAGCTAATCACATTTTCTCTAGCTAAGAGCTCTGCATCCACAGAACCTCATAGGTAGCTTATGGAGACCCAGAGTGAGATTGGACAATTGTAAAAAGTCCCTTGGTCCCCTCAGGGTCATCACTAAGACCTGAATTCAGCTTCTTTCTGTCCAAATGCTTGCTTTCAGGCGTTTTCTGTCTGATTTAAGTAAGCACATATTATTTATGTTTTGAAAGAGTTGACTTGCTCATATATAGAATATGGCATATGAGAGAGGAGTCAAGGATGACTTTAAGTATTTTACTTTTTAAAAAATATTAGCCCCCAGAGAAACTCTATCAGTGAATTGGATATTTACTAAAATGAAATGAAAAATACAGGAAAATAAGCAAGTTGTTAAGCAGAAAATTACCATGTTGTTAAACAGTTTTATGTGTATTTGAGAGTCTATTTTACATCTAGATAGCGATATAGGAAGGTAAATGAATACGATGCCTGCAACTAATTAACAATTAGAAAGTACTTAAAAATCAGTAACTGGTTAAGATTAATTAGTGAGTACAGAGAAATGATACAGATAAAAAAAATCAGACCCCAAAACATTTAAAAGTATGGAATATCACAAGAATTCAGAAAAAAAAAACTGATAAAAAAATAAAAGTCAGAAAAAAAGAAAGATGACTTTCAAAAAAAAAGTATAAATAGTTCACACATATGTAAATACTGAATACTTTCTCTGTGTGAGAAACTGAAAGTATAAATAAGGATCAAAATGTATAGTAGATAATGTGAAATAGGAAGAAAAGGTCCAAAGGGAAGCTTTGTGGCTTAGTGGGCTACAGACTCTCCCAAGGAGAGAAAGGACACCAGAGAGCCAGATTTCTGGTGTTCTTATGGAAGGGGACGCTCCTTCCAAACAATAACCACTTTCCATTTTATCCTCCCTTCCTGCAAGCCAAAGATGTCAACTTGAATGGTGAGTACAGTACGAAATGATTGTTTTGGTAAACTAGGAACATTTTATAACTCTTTGGTCAATACACTAGGAACATTATTGGTGTTTCTGGTAAATTACACACATTATACAATTTCTATTATGAAAAGGTTAGTTAAGGGGTGTTTCGGGAGGTTTGAAATGCATTATAGGTATTTCAGTTAGTTATTTCTCCTGGAAAAAATAGTTTTAACCTACAACTTGAGTTACAACCAGTTCTCACGATGAGTTGAGTTCATAAGTCAAGTGTCCACTGTAGTGATTTCCATTTTTTTTTCTTAAAATGATAATACCACATGATGCTGTTTTGTCCTTTGATGGAAACAGTCCAATAAGGAAGAAAAAAATGGTGGCAGAGAAAAGGAAAACACATGAGTCAGTCCTTCTTTATGTATGTAGATTAGAAACAGTGGAAGCAGCTGGGCATGGTGGCACACGCCTATAATCCCAGCACTCGGGAGGCTGAAGCAGGAGGATTGCTGTGAGTTTGAGACCAGCCAGGGCTACCTTGTGAGTTCCAGGTCAGTCTCAACTACATAGTGAGACCCTGTCTCAAAAAAAAAACAGAAAAGAAAAAGAAAAAAGAAAGAAAGAAAGAAGAGGTGGGAGAAAGTGCCCAAGAAAAGAGATTGATTTAAGAACATGGAAAATGTATTTTTATAACTGAATGAAAAGCAGAGTGTATAAGGTACAGACACAAGTTAATTCTTTGTCAGTGGAAGCTGGTGAAGGCCATTTTTGGTGCCTTTTGTCTTCTTAAAATAGGCAAAATATCAGTTGATATTCCAGATAGGAAATTGGGTATTGAAAATTTGAGAAGAGAAAAAAAAAGAGGAGGAGAAAGGGTTTGGAATAGGTCGTATCAAAAAAGATAGGGCCAGAGATTTAGCTCAGTGGTGCTGCCACTTGTAAGCACAAGGTCCCAAGTTCCATCCATAGTACCAAAAAAAAAAAAAAAAAAAAAAAAAAAAAAAAAGAGGAGGGG